TTTGTTTTTCGACATAACAACTTGTACATCTCTTTGTTGCAAGAAAGAAAAGGTTTATTCTAAGGCCTATATGTTTTTCCTGATTCTTATAAAACTAGGTATTATTTAATCAATAACCTAAAAGCTTTCACACAAAAAGTGATCAGATTCATCCTAGATCAATATTATTCCTTATGCCGTTAATGTTTGACATTGTAACACAATTGAATGGAAATTGGAGTACAATCCTGACACTCATTTATTTATTTACTTACTTATGGCAGTATTGGAGTTTGAACTCAGGGCTTTGTGCTTTCTTGGCAAGCACTCTACCATTTGAACCACATCTCCATCCTAAGAGTTTATCTCCATCATGATTTATTTGTTTTTTTTTTTGCTTCTTCCTGTAATAAGAAATGATAAACTAGCCAGGACCAGTGGTCATGCCCTATAATCCTAGCTACTCAGGAGTCTAAAATCTGAGGATCCTGGTTCAAAGCCAGACAGGGCAGGAAAGTCTATAAGACTCTTATCTTAAATTAACCACCAAAAAGTCAATAGTGGTACTATGGCTTAATCAAAAAACAAAAAAAAAAACTCAGGGACAGAGCTCAGGTCCTGAGTTTAAGCCCTAAGACTGGCACAAAAAATCAACTATTGTTGCAAAATAAATAACTTCTTACAAGTTTTTCATTAAATAGTTTTCTTTGGACTAGAGTTGTAGCTCAGTTGTAGAGCTCTTGCCTAGCATTTGTGAGGCTCTGGGTTCAATCCCTAGAATTAAAAAAAAAAGTTTTTCAAGAAAAATTTTCACATAGTATATCCTAATGGCCAAGGATATGGACATTAGCAATAATGTGACAGAAAGCTTCACCCATAAAGTGAAGGAAAGAATTAGACCTACCTCAAAAAAATAGATTTAAAGTTGACTGAAACTGTTTTACATATATATATATATATATATATATGTTTGCATATATTTATTCTTAGAGCAGCTAGCACAGAGAGCACACTCAACAAATTTTGACTAATTTTTTCTGATAGTACCATCAACATAAGTCCATAAACATCTAAGTTAATATTTTCCTACACAGAATAGTTACAATCAAACTCACACCTTTTAAAAGTAACACCTTTAAGGAACAAAATGGTGTTGCCAAGTAGTTTATACTGCACTTTATAAGCAAGCTTACAGTGACTCTTGTGCTTCTTTATCGTTAGCTTGATGCAAGTCAGAATGTAAAAGCAGAGAGGTATCTATACTTTCTTATTGGGGAGAAAAAGAGCTGCCGTGAATGCTACATGAACATTTAGAATCCCATTATCTGTTCACCTAGCAAGGAAACTGAAGGAGAACAGAGGGCTTTTCTGGAAGAAAGCAGCATGAAGCATAATGATGTGGGTGTCACAATTTCTTTCCTTCCCTGATTATTGTCCTGGAAAGCTACATGCTCCTAAAGCAAACCAAAACTGCATGATGGCATAGTGAACAATGTATGTGCATATGGACATAAGTCCTTCAGCAGAAGAAAAGTTCTCCATAAAATACTGTCATTCCTTTGTTTTTAAATCTGTATATTACATTTTGCACTAGGAAACCTTTCAATGTCTATCAATCAGAAAAGTAACTCACTAGCTTCGGGCCTTCCTTGCTCCCATTCATTCCCTCCCATCTTGTATATAACTCTTATTATTGACTCAAGGACCAATCTCAGCAGTTGAAAAAGAAACTCATGCATGACATGCTATAATAACCACTTTGGCTGTAGGAACTATGGGATATACTTGCTGGATCCAGGACTCTTAGAGACAAGTAGGAAAAATAAAAGTAGAAGCAATGAGATAAATTGTTAGAGATGTGACTGATTATCTCGTAGGGTTAGGGCCAAAGGTAAATCTCAGTATTCACCTATTCAATATGAATCCAGATACAACTAAGCTTAATTACAGAACTACACTCACAGCACCAGAACTCTCTTTTTCTTGCTTCTAACTATCCCTGAAAAGTGACCTCCTTTACTTCTTATCATTGAAAGTTGGCTTTCTCCAAAAGACAGCAAACATGACTGCTGCTAATATACTCTTTTATAGCTTACCAGTTTAATAACACTGAGCGAGATGTCCCTTTTTAGTACCAGTTCCAGAATCCTGGAGGAAAAACTCTGACAGGGCTAGTTTGAATCAGATTAACTGGGACAAAAAAGTAGGACACCATTTGGATTCAGTTGAATAAAGTGTCCAGTCAAACCCTGCCTCCAACCTGGATCAACCTGTATGAATGTGTGGCGCCTAGTGGTGGTGTTGTTTTTAAGTGGGTGTAGTAGTTCACAGACTCATTGCTGGGATGACTGCTTTGTGCAAAACTGCTATTGCATGAGTATACTCTGAAAACTAGGAGAGGAAGTAGATAAGTCTAGCTTCCCATATACCAGCAAAAGCTGCTGGTGTTGCCTCAGAATTTCTAGTTGAAAGTGTTCCTCTACTGTTAGAAAGCTCAGGGAGAATGGTAAGTCGGTGACTGCACAAGAAAGGAGCCCACCGAGAGAATGGAAGCAGGGCCCATCAACAAAGCATCGCCAACGTAAAGCAGAGGGCTGTGGACCTCCCAGCTCTTTTCAGATTAAATCCTTATGCTTCTCCCAGCTGCCTCTCTCTTCCCTCCTGCCTTACACCTCTTTTTAATATTTTCTCCCATCATATTTAAAATGAAGTCCTTCTGTATTGCTTATAAGAATCAGTACTTTTGCAGAGAAGCAGTGCTACACTTGAGGCCAGAATCTCAAATAAGGCAGTCTGTTCCTTGTGAAAAGCACTTGTCTATGCTCTCTTATTATTCATCTCAGAATAGTAGAGTCTCCAGGAGGAAATAGACTGACCTTGAGGACCACCAAAGGAAAACATTATGTTCATCCCAGCTCTCGCACTCATGACTGCTGTCCATTCAGGTTCTTGGACCACATGCTATGTCCTAATTCACCACTGTTTAGCGAAACACATTCTGTCTTTAGACAGCTCTGACTATCAAAAGGACTACTTGGAAGTGGTACTGTGGTTCAAGTGGCTGAATGTTAGGCTTGAACTGAACATCTCAGGGACAGCACCCAGACCCAGAGTTCAAGCCCCACCACCAATTAAATAAATAAATAACAGATGAAAGGACTACTTCTGTTAAGGTCCAACTGTCATAAAGCTATCTTCCCTTGTATTTTCATCTATTAATCTCATTCCTTCATCTATTAATCTCATTCCTACCAACTGGAAATGAACAGATAAGTCTAGTATCTTCCCTCCATGCTTGCCTTTCAAGAAACCCATGAAGTTGTCTCCCTAAGTTGGAGCTCTGGGATAAGCATCTGTTCTTTATGTAACTGTTCTCAGTCATACCACATTTCAAGTCCCTCTGTTAACCTGAACCGTAAGTGTTCCTCTTAATTGTTTTGCCCATAACCAGGCATAATCTTCCAGATGTAGAAACAGCACAAAGAAAGAAAAACTAATAACTATAAATACAGACCTTCTATAAAATATATTTAGCTGAAAATTAAATAATATATGTGACCTTGGGACTTATACATTGGCAAAAATAGCTGACCCATACCTTGGGAAACTGTGTATCAGTGAAGGAGTTTGACATTTCTCCTGGGTGGGGTGTAGTGGCACACATCTTTAATTCAAGCTACTTTAAGAGGCAGGAATAAGAGGGCCACAATTTAAGACCAGCCTGGGTGAAAAAGTAATATGCAGGATCTTATCCCAACAAACAAGTTTGGCATGGTAGCTTGTTCCTATAAGTGCACCAACTTGGGAGACAGAGCTAGGATGATTGTATTCTGAGGCCAGCCCTGGGCAGTAACACAAGACCCTACCTAAAAAATAAACAAATTAAAAGGGTCTGAGGGGCCCAAAGAAACATAGGTCCCATGGTTTCCCTTATTTGCAATATCTAGTATATGTATGAGTCAAGCGGAAAAGGTCAGATAATGTGATGTCAGGAAATAATGTTTTTTTCTTTCATGCATGTGTTTCTAACGCATTTATAAGACTATCTCTTTGTTGCTTTGTATGTCCCTCCCCCACAGTATAACCCCTGCTTTCACTATATTTGATGTCAGTATAACTTGTGGAGGAGAGGGGGGAAAAACAGTTGTTTAAGGATACAGGTGGACCTGATGCAACAACGAGAAGTATAAGTTGTCATGTCCAAAACGAGCTTTACAACGTCGGTCGGGGGGGGGGGGGGCGGAGAGGGTTGGGGATGGGGGGGGGGGGGGGGAGGCTGGGAAGGGATGTGAAGGGTAAACCAAAGGAGGAGGCTGCAATGCTTGGTAAGAAATGTACGCATTATCCTGCCCATGTAATTGTAACCCCTCTGTACAGTATGTTCACAAATAAAAAATAAAAAAATAAAAATAAAAATAAATAAAAGGGTCTGAGGTATGGCTTGAGTGGTAGAACACTTGTCTATATAAGACTCTGAGAGAAAGAGAGAGAGAGAGAGAGAGACTCTCTGACCTTCCATTTCCACTAAAGTTGTTAAAAATTATAACTAGTTCAAGAACTTGAAGGCTTGATACCAAAGACACAGAACTTGTTAGTAAGCCAGAATGGAAGGTTCTGTCACCTAAAATTATTCAGTCTAGAGGTTTCAGGTATAACTCTAAGCTGATTTGATTACCAGAACTGAAAGACTGCATTACTGTATTCAGTCTGAGTACTACCATAGAGCTGAGAAAATGAATTGAAGATTCCTAGTATGACAAATGTCATGGTCATCAATAGATATGGTTGTATTTAGTACTTATCTAAAGGATTCCAGACTCAGTATCTTTTATTCATCTTCTGAATATGATAATATTAATAAACATAGAATTCACATTTTCAACCAAGAAAAACACCATGATTGGCATGTTACATTGAATAGTGGGAAATACTTTAATGTTAGCTGCTTTATTCATAAACAGGGGCAAAAATACCTGTTTCCTAATTTCTTTTTTATATAAAATCATTTTTTTCTCCTCCAGGTTGTTTGGTTTTTACAAGGGAATTCTGCCTCCCATCTTAGCTGAAACACCAAAAAGATCAGTGAAGGTAAGCATCATGTACCCTCCCACAGAGCGAAAATAGGGTCCAATAACAGCTTTAAAATAGCCCATAATGGCCAGGAGCCTGTAACTCACCTGTAATTCTAGCTACTCAGTAGGCTGAGATCTGAGGATCGCAGTTCAAAGCCAGCCAGGGCTTTGGTTTATCTCCAATAAACCACCAGAAGGGGCTGGGAAGGTGGCTCAGTGGTAGAGCGCTTGCCTTGCATGCATGAGGCCCTGGGTTAGATTCCTCAGCACCACATAAGCAAAAAGCAAAAAGCCAAAAGTGGCGCTGTGACTCAAGTGGTAGAGCACTAGCCTTGAGCTGAAGAGCTGAGGGACAGCGCCCAGGCCCAGAGTTCAGGCCCCATGACCGGACCCCCTCCCAAAAAAAAAAAAACAAAAAAAACACCAGAAAACCAGAAGTGGCTCTGTGGATCAAGTGGCAGAGCCCGAGCCTTGAGCCCCATGACCAAAAAAAAGAAAAAAAGAAAAATCCGATAATGAACAAAGGGGACTCTAATACAACTTAACAGAAAATGTTAAAATTTCAGTGCAGAAATTATAACATGATTTTTATTATAATTAGACTCAGTCACTCTCTCACATATATATGTTCATTTGTAGATAATTTTTTAAGGTATAAGTACTCTAATGAGGTAAAAGTACCTCTAATGAGGAAAATACACAAAAAACACAGTGGTGAATGAAATTTATGCTGTCAAACCACAGAAGCCACAAAATAGTTTGGACCTCTCCTCAAAGCAATTCAGAAATTTTCCTTTGGCCCAATAATTATTAAAGAAAAAGAAGAGGTAGAAAACCCTTCATCTGAATCATTCCAATTTTATGAAATTCACACTATTTCTTTGTATATGGTTCTTGTTTCTTTAGTTTGTCATCTTTATTTTTCCTCTTAGTCATCTCTATTAAAATTTCGTATTCTGAGCCAGGGGCTAGTGGCTCACCTCTGTAACACTAGTTACTCAGGAAGCTGAGATCTGAGGATCGTGGTACGAAGCCAGCCCAGGCAGGAAAGTCCATGAGACTCATCACCAAAAAGCTAGAAGTGGAACTGTAGCTGACATCAAATATGCCTACTCTTTCGATATGATAACATAAACTTAGGCTAATAGACTTCCTTTCCAATTTTTTCATTTATTTTAATGACACAATGCTCTTTTCACATGAATTATTCAGTCTACATACCTAATATACCTGAAAGGCAAGGAACTTCTTTAATACTTTTATTGAGTAAATCAAAGGGGTGAGTGGGTTAAAAACTAATGCTGGAATAACCATACACTCACAAACATCAAAACTTTTTATATTATGTCCAAATAGTAATTTAATAGAATTTAATTCAGGTCAAATTTAAAAAACAAAGCTTGAAAACATACTTTCTGTGTAAATTTATCCTCTTTGTTGCTGTAGTTTTTGTGATTTTATATTATTACTTCAATACAAATTTCATTATGAGGATCTGAACCACAGTTGAGAATCTGGAAAAAGTTCACCAAAGTACACAAAAGGGCTGAATTGAATTATGAAATGACTTTACTTGATAAAAGATTGCCCAAGTAAACAAACAGAACAGAATTCTTGTTCAAAAGAAAGTTACTTTGTCTCCATGGAATAAAAACATCCATTTTGTTCAGTCTTTTACATATATAAGTAAAGTAAATTATATTGGAGCTGCTCCTGCAATATTTTTCCTTAATACTTTATAGTAAAGACAATTAAAACTTTAAGAAGATTAAGGTTTATCAACATTAAGCAATCTTTTACAGGAAAAAAAGTTAAGCTTTACAAAACTCAGTTAGTCTCTACAAAAAAAAAAAAAAGGGAAAGAAAGAAAAGAAAAGCAGTGCTCTGTGCCAGAACAATGGTTAACAGATGAACTTTTGGGCAACTGGATATGGTGTATGTGTCCCAGACATCTTGTTTCAAGTAGATTTTACCTTAAAATTATTGAGACATATGGTAAGTACGTTGGCTTTTTAAGTATTACTTGGAGTTAAATGTATCTTTGCCAGATGGATAGCATGAGTTTTTCAGCACAATTTATGAAAACATTCATTTTATAGATATTTATCTTCAAATTTGTGAGGAGAGCAATCACCTGATTGTAACAATTTCATACATCATAAACTGCTTCATTGTATGTCATCAAAGTTTAATTCAGAATAAAATATTTAGAGATGTGTGTGTGTGTGTGTGTGTGCACGCGCATATATGCCTGCATGTGTACTTGCACGTGTGTATGCGTTCCTTGGTAAGAACACTTCAATTACAATCGTTACTATAATCAAAAACAGACAATTTCATGTTTGTATTTTATTCTTTGAAACAAGATTCATCATTAAAATAAGAGTCACTGATGGTAAATTAATGAAACTTTTCCTTTCACAATAAAGGCAGAATTAGTACTGCATTTAGCAAAAAGAAATGACAACCTTAGAAAATGCCAACTGGTCCCTGAGAGAAGGAAGGCATCGTATTATTGTTTCCACACTGCCCGTGAGCTTCACAAGTGAAAAAAGACCATTTTCTTAAGGTTTTTCAAGGTCATCCTTACTGGCCAGGTTTTTGAGATATGATAGTGATGAAAGCTACACCTGATATGCACACATGTACATATAGCTGCTATTCAGTTAAATAGATGAAACAAATTGAGAGAGAAATAGAAAGAACATTTATCAAAAGAAAGCAGTTTATATATAGAGAGAGAGAATCTGTTCTATTTCCCCAAATTACCACATCTACTACTCAGGGTATCTTCAGCTACCATCCCAGAGGAATGTAACAAAAGCAAGAGTTATTCTCCCACTGGGAACTATGACAATAAACAACATATAGGAAACAATGGTTTGAAAGACACTGAGCACCAGAGAATGAGGTATACTAAAACCTGTGAGAGGAGAAACAAAATTATATAATCCCTGTGATTGTCCCAGCTTACTTCCCTGAGAGTGCTTCTGGGCTCTAAGTAGGAGCAGCAGAGCAGACTAACTCAGTAGTAAAGAGAGGAAAGGCCAGAAAGAACAAGAGCAAGAGAGCTAGAGTTCACAGGACATACTACCAGGGAAGAAAAGCCAAAGACACATAGAGCGAGCAAGCGTGAGAGAGACAGAGACAGAGAGCTCCTGGGGATGCAAAGAGACCCCCACAAGTATTCAGTACTGACCAGTGCAGGGAGGACTGTAAGGAAATGACCCGGATTTGGGAAAGAACCATCCAAGAGGATTTAGAGGAACATCGTTGGGCTAGGAATGGTGCCTGTGCCCACTCATCTGGAAAGCTTCAACATTCAAAGGACAGTGAGAGGGGTCTTCAGAAAGGTCTTGCCTCAGGCGTGGCAGAAATTAGCCCTAGACTGAGCCACCCCTTGGGTCTCCTGTCTAAAGGCAAGACTCAAACGGACCAAACAGCTTTCCTATCACTTAACTACTTCCCAAAATAGACTATCTAGAATGTCCTAGGATGTCAGGTTGATCAGGACTGGTTCCGCCTGGTAAAGTGTACCAATGTTCTCAGAGACCCTGGAAGTCCTAATGTTCCTCCAGGAAGAAGATGTCAAACTCTTGTGATCAGATTTATATAATATGCTTCTCTCCCCCCCTCTCTCTCTCTCACACACACACACACATGCACACACACAAGCACACACACATTGCATAAGCATGTGATCTTGCATTTGTAAATGAAATAAAAGATGAATATAAACCAGTATTTATACCTTTTATGTAATGAATGCATTATTTCTAGTCCATTTCATTGATTCTTTTTCTGGTCATGACCAGCTACATGCAGTACGTTAATTTTATCACCCATAGGTCCTGACCTAGAAGCATTGCCCAAGGGTCCCCAATCTAAGGGACTGGGCTGAGAGATGCTAGATCTCTCAAAGGTATCCACTGCCTTTGTTACTTATAGTATGAGGACACATTTGTTGAGTATTTGTCTTTGTTTCCTTTCTGACTTTCAGTCTTGACAAGGATTAAAAAACCAAACTGGAAAATGGACTCAGCCTTTCACTGTAGGAATCCTCTCAGAGATTTCCAAGTCTACAACTTGGCAACAATTCTAAATTTTTGTTTCCTCACCCCAAAAATTGTTTGTTTGCTTGTCTGTCTGTTTTTTAAACCTACTACTAGCAGTCTTGCTAGTAACTTATGGAGAATGACATAAAAGTAATTTCTGAAGCTTTAAAAATAAAAATTCTGCTGAGCACCAGTGGCTCACACTTGCATCCTAGCTACCCAGGAGACTGAGATCTGAAGATCCCAGTTTGGAAGCCAGCCAGCACAAGAAAGCTCATGGGATTCTTTTTTTTTAATGTATGTTTTTTATTGTAAAAATGATCCATGGGATTCTTATCTGCAATTAACCACCAAAAGTGAAGTTATGGCTCAAGTGATATAGTGCTAAGCCTTGGGCAAAACAGCTCAGGAACAACACCCAAGCCTTGAGTTCAAGCCTCAGTACTGGCATCAAATAAGTAACTAAGTAAGTAAATAAATAAATAAATATTCACCTCGTGTTATAATGACTCTTGAGCTGCCCGAAGACTCCTTAAGACCATCACCACCGAAATCGGACCTTTCTAATGATAGAGTATTACTTCCCCCAAACTGCATTTTTGCCTGTTTTTTTTTAACTGAGCTACAAAATTATTCAGTAGAAAATGTTTACTTTCCCATGTTATTTCTTGGGTCTTGAGAAGCAGACCTGGAAAGTCCTAAGAATGTACCTTACCAGTGATGTTGGTGTGACTCAATCAAGGATCCAAGAGCCAAACATCCTAGAGTTACTTCCCCTGATACAGACTGTGGAAAGAGAGGAGGGAAAATGCATTCTGTGAAGGAATCCATTCAACTTGTCTCCAGCAAAACTCCACTTATAGAGCATTACACATCATCTTCTGAAGGAATTAATAATATCTTTATGACCAGTATCCGAATCATTATTGTGAGAATCTTCTTGTTAATATTTTAAAGGAGGAAATAAGGAGTTCTCCATTCTTCTGGTTGAGGACAGTCTTGCTTTAAGACACAGAGAAACTAGATAACCAGTCTTCTTATCCTGGTCTCTCATGGGTTTTGTTTTGAGTTTGTGACAGTGCCTCACACTGTCATGGCATCATCCTAATCACTTAATGTTTGAAAAATTTGTAAGGCATCATAGAGGCACAGCAATATAAATGCAAGTTAAGGCTGAGAATGGATGTTTTAGTGCCTGTTAAAAAAATCAGGCACTTGAGGGGTAAGCAGTTCACAGAGAAAGTATAGGAGACCCAAGTTTTCAAGTGTCTGCCTACAATTTTGAATCACTGCCATTAAAAAAAAAAAAGTCTATTGATGTCTGGGGAAACTGAAAATGGTCATGGTAAATGGAAGTTGTATGGTTCATTTACTGCTATAAAGGATTCCATCAGCTCTTCTGTAGATTGTTATAACTGCATTTGAAAAATGTGAATGTTAAAATAAGACCCAATATAGCAAGTATTCAAGATAGGATTTTAAAAAATTGTGTTCGATGGTTTGTCATTTTTAAATGCTTTTTAATATAATGATTTGCTTTTAAAATTTTGGTCAATTAAAGAGTTTGTTGCAGGAAATTGTTATAAATTTCTGGGTTTGGTTTTGTTTCACAGTTTCTCGCCTTTGAGCAGTATAAGAAAATACTACTAGGAAATACGTCACTGTCACCAGGACTGGTAAGTGAGAGTATTTATTATGCTTAAGTGTGTGTGTTATTTCATAAAGCAAAATCAAGAAACAAAACCCCTTTTGATTCTCCAAGCCCAGCTACTAAAATATGAATCTGAGTTATTCAATGTTCAGCTACTTGTTGAAAGCCATCTTCCTAATAACTCACAATTTGGCTATTTTATTGCTCCCAGTGATGAATTTATGATAAAAATGATATGTCTGGAAAGGCCTAGATGAGATATGGTCAAGAATATAAAATAAGGAGTACATTTGTCAAAGGCTTTTTCAAAACCAAAATATGTATATGTTTACAGACACATTGCACATGTCTGTTTATGCAAACGTCAATATACTTGAGATTGTTTCCTAACAGGTCACTTTTCCAGCTGCTCAAACTATAGTAAGTACAGAACTTTGGGTCACTTGGGATAAAATCATTCTGTGGTCAGACACAAACTGAAGGGTCTTTTACATGAATGACTATAAACAACTCAGCCAGGGAGAATGGTCTTACAATGACACAGCTCAAGTATTATACAAAATTTACTTGGTGATTTGGATATTTGGATATTTCCTTATGCTATTCTTCTCCTTCTTGGTGACCTTGCTGCTTTCTGGAAAGCAAGTTAAATTATATTTCCCAAATGTATACACAGTAAGAGTCCCAAAGGGAGCAAATGCACTAATTTATCCCTCCAATGCTATAAAAGAAAGCAAACAAAAGTCATTGTTGCTCATGACAATGTGTTTACCCAAGGTCTAAAAAAGTCCCCATTTGCCTACTGAGATGGACCTCAAAACTTAACTGGTGCAGCATCACCATTTAATTATAAATGTTTGTCCATTTATGAGGAGGTTATAATAAACCCTGTGTAAGTTGAAAATAAAGCAAAATCATAAATGAATTTATTAATGAATGTCTTTAACCGACCAATTACCACTGCTTAGCAACACAGTACACTGTAGAGTATGGGATGTTTGCCCTCCTGATGGCATAGCTGACCAGGAGCTACAGAGCGCTGTTACTGCACATCCTCAGAGACAGTGTGACACTGCTTGTTGACAGCTTGGGGAAAGATCAAAATTCACAGCACAGAGTGGGTTTTATTCTTACACTATTGTAAAGCTGAAAATTTGTAAATTGAACCATTGTTGATCAGGGACTGTACGGTAATTGTAAAGGTTTCTTTCAGAGTATTTACTCTGACACATACTCAGCTCAGGAAGAAGTATTTGTTATTTTAAAAAATCATGTATATCCTCTTTCTGGAAAGAACCCTGTTAAAGAAACTTTCTGTGGGGTGACATGGATCAAGGTTCATTCTACTCATAAACTGACAGATTGAATTGAAAACCCCTTTGTACAACTATTTAATTTTTAAAAATATATTTTTTAAAAAGAAATCTGTTGTGACAAAGAAATCTGTCCAGTATCCTGCCTGAACAAGGCAGTAGTGAGGTCTTCCCTTCCAGAAAAAGAACAGTGGTGCCATGAATGTTAAAATTACATTAAGCTTTTGTTTTTTTAATTCCTTGATATCTTACCTTAATGTCATTCTTAACTATAGCAACATCTTGGCAAAAAAAAAAAAAAGGATTAAAGACTTCCTAGCAAGAGACAATAAAATATGGTCTCCAGAGGGCCAGCTGGATGTTCTTGAGTTAAGCATTGGTACCATGTGAGAGAGTGCAGGGCTTCTGACTCTTGAGACTTAAAACAGGAAAACATTTGGTCACTCCAGCTTCTATAACCAAAGCATGTGAGCTGTATATGATTCTCTTCTATCCTTGAACTCATTTATTTGGGTTTCTTTTTTGATACACTGAGGTACTAGCCATTAAATATGCCCTGCTGCTCACATGAAAAGCCCAGGAGGCTGGAAATCTCAACAGTAAAAGCATGTCTCTGCAAATACAAGCAACATGACCCTCTGATATCTGATCAATTCTTATGGCAAGGGACTGCCGAACACTAGTTCAAACTGCAAATGTAACTGAGCTTTATAGAAACACAGAAAGGTGAATTACTTGGGAGATTGCATATAGTAAATAATAAAACCTGAACATCTGGATTTTAGCTTTCCCAGTCACAAGAGTTTGGGACTGGATTGTTGTTTGGAGCGGGGGGGGGGTCCCCCCAACTTGGCTTATATGATGAATGTCTGAAATAAATTAATAAAGTATATTATCAGTTACTCTATACAAATTATGCTTAAAATTGTAATGGAGTGAATGGGAGAAAATGAAAACATTTTAATTTTTCCTTTCTCCTAGAATCTGTATGGTATACCATTCTTCCTCTCTCCACTCTACCTCCCAATCTTTTTTTTTTTTTCATGCCAACAATGGAGCTTGAACTCAGGGCCTCTTGCTCAGCTTTTTGATGCTCTACCACTTGAGCCACACTTCCAAGTCCAGCTTTCTGCTAACTAGTTAGAACTAAGTCTCAAGGACTTTTCATCCTGGACAGGCTTCAAACCTCAATCTTCAGATAGCAGCCTCCTGAATAGCTAGGACTACTGGCATGAGCCACTTGTGCTTGGCTCCTCTCTTTTTATGTGCAATGAGAACATTGACTTTACAAACAAAAATTAGATGTTTTCATCTCCATTTTGCAAATGAAAAAAGGGGGTTCCTACATAGTTCCAGCAAACACACATAATGTCTTTGTGTCTTTTCATAAAAAGTTGCCTATTTTTCCATCAAGAAAGAATAAAAAATAATTTTGTTAATTAATAATCTTGACCAATCACTGTAGAAATATGACTCTACAGTTGAATGTTTCCAGTTATGCTGAAGTTTAGCTTTTTTTAAATACTTTATTTATGGTTCTGCTTCTTGAATTTATGTCAATAAATGCATGTAAATAGAGTGTCCTTTTACCATTCAAACTTTCATCTAATTGTTATATGTGCAGATGTTTTCATGTCCACCTTAAGTCAATAAAACAACCTTGCCTTTTGTTAAAGGAAAAAGTCATTGTTGATGAGGCTTTGACATCTGATTTTGAAATTGTTAGGATGTGGTTTATGCCTTCTATAATTTCTTCCCCTTGAATTGTCAGCATCTAATCAAGAGTTAAAACCATTTAGTAATGGTATATGACACACATAAGCAGCTTTCTCTATTCCCAGCATAACAAGCAGGTGTAACAAGCAGGATGCTTGACTTGGTATATATAGAGATCACTTGTTTTAAAACATTGATTGATATGATTTTTCTAGACATTTTCCCTGGCTGGATTTGGATCTGGACTAACTGAAGCCATCGTGGTTAACCCTTTTGAGGTAGTAAAAGTTGGTTTGCAAGCCAACCGGAGCAAAAACACAGAGGTAATCTTTTTTTTTCCTACCATTAGGGGAATATTTTTAAAATCTAATACACAAATCAAATTATGGACCTATCTTTTATTCACTTATTAGGGCCGTAAAAAAAATCACTGTTAAGAACGTGTCATATAAAGTAAAATACATGATCACAAAGACTGTGTTAACAGCTGGGCTCCAGTGGCTCACTGTAGCTATAATCCTAGCTACTCAGAAGGCTGAGATCTGAGGATCGCAGTTCAAAGCCAGCCTGGGCAGGAAAGTCTGTGAGACTCTTATCTGCAATAAATGGCCAGAAAACGTGAAGTGGCACTGTGGCTCAAGTGGTACAGTGCTAGCCTTGAGCTCAAGAGCTGAGGGACAGCACCGAGGCCCAGAGAAGCCCCATGACCACAAAAAAAAAAAAAGGATTGGTAGGGGAAAAACAAAGGAGGAGGTAACAATGCACAATAGGAAATGTACTCATTACCCTACTCATGTAATTGGTAACCCCTCTGTACAGTATTTTTACAATAAAAAATATATATGGAAAAAAAGAATGTGTTAGCAAAAAATACATTAAGAGGACAAACACATATTTGGTTTTAAGTAATCTATGTAAATCTATTCTTCTCATGCAAGAAGTTTCAGCAAAACTACTCTTTTCTACTGCACTAGAATAACCTGTAGCAAAACCACTGAAGTGATTCTAGTAGTGTGCTTTTTAAAAAAATGAAATCATTTTTAAAAATTTCCTCACTCCTTTCCTCCACTCCACCTGCCATCCTTCCCACAAGATCCTGATGACCTGTCAAAGTTGGTAAGTCTGAATGAGCAAGTTATTCAGCCTATGTAGACAACCACCACTTGGACAGTGCTGGGCCTTGACATTTAATCGCTGGTACATGATGTTCTATGTAGACAGCTTCTCTTCGCGTGTGCTTGCCGTCACTTCCTCTAGTTGCCTAATAATACTGCTTAAACTGCCAAGTCCAACTGTTCTTGTTTTATGTTTCTGGATGCCAAGCACAAGGTAAGAGGGAAAGAAGGGGACTGGCATCCCAGGTCCCTTCTTAGCATTTGAATTCTGAAACTGGGTAGCATGTGGTAGAAATCGGTCTGGAGTATCTGCTGACTTGGGTTTTTCTGTAGAAAAGTTTCCCTGCTGCCTACTTAAGCTGCTGCTAATGGGTGGAGACCCCATCACACCGCCCCCCCAACCCACTTCCTGTCTGCTGATACTGCCTGAGAACTTCCTGACAGCTTCTTGGGCCTGGATATGGGAAGGAGGAGTGTGGGGGAAGGAGCAGGGATCAGGCTCACCTGTGGCTGCCAAGACCTGAGGTGGAGAAGGGCCAGGAAAAGTTGGGTAGCTGTAGCACATGGTATCTACTCAGATGAAGTCAATCCTCATTCAGAGAAAAAAAATTGAAGTTTCAAAATGTTGCCTCAACCTCAGAAGACTTGAAAATCTCTGTATACCCCCAGGTTTTGTTTATGTTCTCTTATTCTTTTGGAGATGAAAAAAAGACATGGAGCCTTCAAATTAGTGCCCATGGGATCTGTCCAAGGAAAATTAGACTGATGAGACTGAGAGAACCATTTTCATTAGAAGAAAATGTTGGAGATAACCATCCAGTGCCTCATTTTACCCACTGGAACACTTATTTATCTTGTAGCAATATGGAAGCAAAGAAACACCCAAGTGTTCAGTTGCAGGGGCTTTTTGTTTAGTTTTGTTTTGTTTTAATCTAGAAAGCATGTGACCACAGAGTTCTCACAGCACCTGTGCTCATACCTAATCTCTCTCTCTCTCTGTCTCTCTCTCTCTCTCTCTCTCTCTCTCTCTCTCTGTCTCATGCCCCCAAGGAGGTTCTCCACTGAACCCAGGTAGGAGTTGCTAAATGTTGCATGTGCTAGCACCTTGTAAGAGCATGATAAACACCAGCCCAGTCCAACACAAGGCCTTGCTGCATGTTTAGTGTTCCTAGTGTGTTTGCACAAGTGCAGTCTGTGTAAATTGTTTACATACTTTAGCCACTTTTTTTAATGGTATTGGAGTTTGACCTCAGAGCCTTACACTTATAAGTTTGCTTACTCAGCTGGTGTTTTACCAGTTGAGACACATCTTCAGCCAGGTTTTGCTAGTCATTTTGAGATGAAGTCTCATGGGCTTTTCTGCCTGGGATGGTTTCTAACTGCATATCTCCAGATGTAAGCCTCCTGGATTGTCAGATATTCACTGAGAATACAATAGATTAGATTCATTATAGAATATTTTAGTATTACTACAACAAATCAAAATTTAGCAAAATAGATTTATGATTCCATAAATCAAACCATCAGTATTTATTTTCAGTACCTATCAGAATTCAAAACTGAAGTTTTGTTTTAATATAGTACTTTATAGGTCAAACTGAAAAGGTAGTGGTGAATGGCTACCCAGCATAAGTACCTATTGAAAAAAAAGTCTAAAGAAAGAAATAAAAGGACAACAGTAAAGATTTGGTAACTATTGCTTAAAAATAATTATTGGTGGGCTGGGAAGGTGGCTCAGTGGTAGATCGCTTGCCTTGCATGCATGAGGCCCTGGGTTCGATTCCTCAGCACCACATAAGCAAAAAGGAAAAAGCTGAAAGTGGCGCTGTGGCTCAAGTGGTAGAGTACTAGACTTGAGCTGAAGAGCTGAGGGACAGTGCCCAGGCCCAGAGTTCAGGCCCCACGATCGGACCCCCAAAAAATATAATAATAATTATTATTATTGATAATCTCGACACAGGTGGCTCACACCTGTAATCCTAGCTACTCAGTAGGCTGAGATTTAAGGATTGCTGTTCAAAGGCAGCCAGGCAGATAAGTCAGTGAGACTCTTATCTCCAAGAAACTATCCCCTAAAAAAAGCTGGAAGTGGAGTTGTGACTCAAGTGGTAGAGTGCTAGCCTTGAGCATAAAAGCCAGGCACAGCACCCAGGCTTTGAGTTCAAGCCCTAGAACTAGCACCAAGAAAAGGAGGAAGGGAGGGAGGGACGGAGGAAGGGAGGGATGGAGAGAGAGAGGGAGGAAGGGAGGGAGGGAGGAAGGAAGGAAGGAAGGAAGGAAGGAAGGAAGGAAGGAAGGAAAGAAGAGAAAACTAGGTGTTTTTGGGTGGTGTTTTATAGATCTTTTGTCTAGAACTCATTTATGCCAAGCCTTTCTCCATTGACTAGTAGTTTGTTTTTCTAATGAGAGGGCACTCTTGTTTCTTCTGAACTTGTGCTGGTTTAATTAAAATAGTAGGTACACTCACTTCAGCATTTAGATGGCCAGGATTATTGCTGTTTCCTTCTCTGTAAAGCTTTATAGATTTTCAAATATGAAAGAAAGGTGAGGAAGAGGAGGAGGAGAAGGAACAAGAAGAGAAGAGTGAGGAAGTAAGGCATTCATTTAATGCCCCTTTTCTTAACCTTAGTTATAAAAATTATTTAGGTTAGGAAACATTATATACATGTGTGTAAAAACACAAATAATGATATAGACTGTAGCTCAGTACTAGTTTAACAGAAACACAATGTAATCCAAACATTTTTTAGTTGCTAGGTAAGAAAAGTAGAGAAACAGCTGCAATTAGTTTAGTAATGTATTTTACTTAGCCCAACATACTGAATATTTTTTCTCTTAAACATTATCTTCTTATTTTTTAATTATCCTTGAGTAGTTGGACAAAAGAGGTGCCATATAACAAAGCAGTTTATGATACAGTGCATCTTGATCAGTGTCACCCCTTCAACATTCTCACCCCACTTCGACTCACCCCTTCCCTTCCCTTTCTTAGTTTTGTAGTATATACTATGAATTCTTTTTTTAATATAAATTTTATTGTAAAGGTGATGTACAGAGGGGTTAAAGTTATATAAGTAAGGTATCAAAGTAATGAGTGCATTTCTTTTTAACAGAGTTACCCCCTCCCTCATTTTCTCCCACTTCCCCCACCTCTGACTCCCCTCTCTTCCCAAATTGTAAAGTTCATTTCTGACATGGTGTAAATTTGTTCAGACATTCTGGAAAGCAGTATAGAAGTTCCTCAAAAGACTAAACTTAGAGCTCTCCTATGACCCAGAAATCCCAGTCCTGAGAATTAACCCAAATGATCACAAACCAGCTGGCAGTAATGCCACCAGCACAACCATGTTCATTGCAGCATTATTTACCATAGCTAAGATTTGGAATCAACCCAGATGTCCCTCAGTAGATGAATGGATTTCCAACGTAGTGTATCACTGTTGAATTGGTTCTCCCTTTGTCCCACTGTTTCTGTGATTCTCCTTCCCTTCCCTAAATCAGATAAACTTCTATATAAAACAAAGAGTGCGAAAATCAAAAACAGTGACAACAGAGAATAAACCAAAGGGAAAAAATGAAAGAAAGAGGCTGGAAATGTGGCTTAGTAGTAGAATCCTTGCCTAGCATGCACGAAGCCCTGGGTTCAATTCCTCAGTACCATATAAACAGAAAAAGCAGAAGTGGTGTTGTGGCTCAAGTGGTAGAATACTAGCTTTGAGCAAAAAGAAGCTCAGGGACCGTGCCCAGGCCCTGAGTTCAAGGCCCAGGACTGGCAAAAAAAAGAAGAAAGAAAGAAAAAAGTAACTGCAAACATCACAATAAAAAAACCTCTTGTTTCCATTTCTTGGAGTTCATTTCTATAAGCATCATTTTATGATTGTATGCACATAGCTATTGAGCTATGTGATTCTCTCTTTAAGAATATCCTCCTTTGTTCTCACTGGGTGATGCTTAGGGTGCTGTTTAATTAAGTATGTCCAAGTATAAACATTTGCCTTTTACCATTCATTGGATTAACTTGTAGATTTATAGACATATTCTAGTTATTACAAATGAGAGAAACCATGACGTCTATGTTTCTTTGGGTCTGGCTTACTTCACTTAATATATTTTTTCCAAGTCTTTCCATTTCCTTATGAATTGTAGATATACCTATTTTCTTGATATGGTTTCATATTTTAGCTATGGTAAATAATGCTGCAATGAAC